CCAGCCATGCTGGCTGGGGAATTCTGGGGGTTGACATCCACACAGCTTAGAGCAACCAAGGTTGAGAAACACTGGTTTAGGTATTCACAAGACGTTGGGTGAATTCTTTTAGGGCCCCAAAGGTGTGCTGATTGCAGAATCTATGGGGTACTGTGCAGCCTAGGGGAATGCTAAGGGGATTTGGGGCAATCTGGACATGCCAGGGACACCCAGTCACGCTCCTTGTCTGGGTAGGTAGACATGCTGTGTCTTTAAAGATGGGTCACAATTGCAATTCTGTAGTGGGGAGATGGCTTCAAGGCCTGCTCAGTCGGAAACCTAGTCTGTTTTGTGGAATGCGTAGATACCCGGAACGTGGCTTGTGTTCAGCTCTGTTGGGGGAAGATGACCCCACCCTTCCCACGGTCCTCAAGCATCTTAGATACTGGTGCTGATCCTGATTCAACAGTACACACATAGGGCATAGTCACAGTCCTGCTGTTTGGGATGAGGAAGGATTGGATCCTGTGTGACCCCCCTCCCCACAAAATAGGTGCCCTGGGTGGGCCAATCTGGGGATTGATCACGCATTGTTGAATGGGGGCCCCATTATCAAGCCTCTCTTGACCTCCTCCCCTCCCACGCCCCAAGTTTCTACAGTTGATCACCCAACTGCCAGCCGACTTCTTCTGATCATTCAAAAACATTAATCACACAGTTGAAGTCTTTCTCTTATCATCTGCAACAGAGCAAACGTTAATTTTCCTACTGTGGAGCTCCTTGCATCCAGGATTTTTCTTAGGGGGGAAAGAAATCAAATCCTTTTTATTAAGGGGATTTTCTATGGATTCTCTACTTAACGCTTTATAGTCTTAACTGCATTTCAGATGTATCAAATTTTGCTAATCAAAGTGGAATGAATATATATTTTGCAAAAGTTAACTAGGTAAGGTGATTAACTTTTGAGACGTGTTACATGCCTGAACCTTGACCCTCTTTTTACAGGGAATTTTTCAATTGTGCGTTTTTGTAACTTGTGACTTTTTTTTAAACCCTTATGGTGTTGCAGAACTTTGCCTTTAAAGTAGTCGCCCTTATCAAATGGGAAGGAAATGGCTTTGCGATGGTGGCGTGTACGGCAGACATAGGAGATTAACTACAGGGATGTAGACCTGTGATTACCCACGTTAACACCATCCCCGAAGCCAACGAGACCGTAGAACCTTGATTAGTCTTTAAATGAAAATACCTCTTTGAAGTGAATACGGTGGTCAGAAATGAAGGGACGTTATGAGTGTTTCTGCCTTTTTTCTCAGTAGCTCAGAGATGGGGAACTGTGGCCTTTCAGATGGTCTAAATGTCACCCGGCACCCCTTTTCCCCATGGGCCACGCTGACCAGGACTGCTGGTAGTTGTTGGTTTAGCAACCTCTGAAGCATCTGTAAATGTCATCTGTGCTCTGGGCTTAGGCCGGTCTTCCCTCCTCTGGCATTGTCCAGATGTGTTGGGCCAAACTCTCAGATTTCCCAGACTGATCCCGTAGTGGCAGTGAAGTGGTAGCTCTGCCAGTGCCTGTGTGTGCCACGTGGCAATACAGAGAAACCTAGGTTGATTGACGTGGGTGGGTGGCTGCCCCTCGGTCTTCATCCTGGACAGGGCAGAAGGCCCCCTTCCCCAGAGGAGAAGTTGTTACGGAGCTCCAAAAGGTCCGCGCAGCTTCTCTCCTGAACGTTTGGATGCCCATCGCAGACTTGGGAAACAAGTGCCAGCTGCTCCAAGGCCACGAACGGCCCAGTGGTCAGCCTGGCCGTTCTCCGCTGCCAACTTGACGGAGCTGGTGAACGTAACCCCCGTAAGCAGCCTGTTTGTTTTTATTTTTTTTCGAAGTAGGTACTTTCCATTGTGAAGTTTTTGTAAGCGTGCAAAATAGATGGTTATTTTTGTATGTTGGTTAAAAGCAAGCAGCGCTGCTTGAGCTGATGAAGGTGGTTGCTGTAATTAAACTGTGTAAAAAAAAAAAAAAACCACACACAGCTTTTGATACTGCCAAGCAGATTTTAGCTGCTGCGCGGTGGAAAGTGACTGTGGTGTATTTTACCATGGAAATATAATTATACTTCTTACAGACCAGCAATCCAGAAGGTGCATTTCACCAGGGCAGAAGGTCTCTCCTTTCAGCTCTGGTGCTTTTTGTGGTCCTTCCCCTTCAACTGGGGCCGTTGATCTTAAAAAAAAATTGTGTATCTTAAAAGCCAAACACGCTTGACCTTTTCTTAAGGAAAAGGTGAAGCCGGTCATCAGAAAAGTGGAATTCTCAGTGACTCTTAGGGCAATGGGGCTGGGGGAGAGAAACCCCCTTTTTTCTGCTTTTGGAAGAGTCTAAAGGTTTGATGTGCCTAAACAGTGCTCTGACTGAGCACGGCAGAACTGACAGGGAGACCTCCCACCCACCCTGACTATGAAATTGCAAGTAAATGAGGCTTAATAAAAATGAACCTGCCCACTTCCTTCTCTCTTGTGCGAGACTGTTTTTGTCACTTTTTGTTTTGGGGGGGGGAGGGAAGAGAAGGAGCATTACATGCATAGGAATATATTTGCTGCATTGCCCTGAAGTCTGGCAGAGTCAAAATTGGACTCAGTATGGTTTCATCCTGTTGGGAGAGTTACAATTGGAACCACCTGCCCAATGAATCCCTTAGGCCAAGAAAGAAACTCCATGAGCTGGAACCCCGACACTTCTATTTCCCCAAACTTTGTCTGAAACGTTTCTCCTGCACGCACAGAAAGTTCGGACGGAGGTCAAGGAAGATTCGAAAGGAGCGCAGTCTTGGAAAAAGAAAACCCAGGTCCATATCAGAGATTTTACTACACTTGATTCCAGACACCACTGTAAACCCCGTCAGCTCAGGCGTTGACTTTTAGACCCAACTGGAGCCACGTGACAGACTTCGACTGATGCGCCCAATTTCTGCAGCTCGGCCAGCCATATCATCTGCTTGTATGAAAGGCGGTCGTTCGGCCCTTTGACTTCCACCAGCTGAAACGTCGATTCAGGAGAGGAAAAAGAGAGAGCAGAGAGCCTCAGGTTACAAGAATCATTTTAGGGTTGGAGATAAACAAGGGTGGTTGTCTGAACCAAAATCTTAATTCTGCAGCTTGCCTAAGACAAAGGAATACTTTCTCTTTATTAAAGCCCCCGCCCCCCGCCAAAATAGCCAACAAGAAGGGTAAGTCAACCAACCTCCTCTCTAAGAGAACCCAAAACTCTACTCCTTGTTCCCACCTTGCTAAGAAGCAAACAGGAACAGATACATCTCCCAAGACAATGCTTAGCTGCCAGACGCAAACTGATTTCCAAGACCCATCAGCTTTACCTAGAGATGGAATGCGGCCAGTAGGATGCAACCTGTTCAGGTAGGGGCAGGTGAAGAGATCTCTCTTTAATGTCTTAACACTGATCCAGCTGTTTTAGAGTTTAAAACAAGTCTTCCAATGCCTCTCTCGAAATATCACTCTTTCAAACCTAATTACCATGAGAATATAAGCCATACCCTTGGCCCGTCTAGTCCATGAGTCTGTTCTCACAGTGGCCAACCAGCCACCCAAGGAAGCCCACGAGTCTCCCAGCAGATGGCCTTCGGAGGCAGTCCCACCGCTATTGAGGCCAAGAGCCACTGACCCCTGTGACTTCCATTAATTGGCCCAACCCTTTTGTGGAGCCAGCACCAAACCTTGAGGTAGCAAGTTCCAAAGTTGAATTAAAAAAATAACCATGGAAGCTAAAATTTTGCATCCAACACGCCTTCTGCAGTTGCACAGAGAACCCAAATGGACACAGCATAACGACCATGGCGCACCTCTTCATACTGTGAAACGGCACACCTGGTGTGCCGTTTCACAGGCAGCAGGTCATGAGATTATACTGAAGCAAGGGAGAAATCTTCACGGTAGGCTGACTGCAATCTGGCTGGTGGAAGAGTCTGGGTGAGGAGCAAATCTCCCCTTGTGTTCTCTTGGGTGGCTGGTGGGAAGTTTGCAGCTCCCATCCTGGATCCCCAACCATAAATGGTGTTAGAAACAGAGCAAACAATGTTGATGGGCTGGTTGGTAGATTCCAACCAGAGAGAGGGAGCAAAGTTTCTCCTACAAAAGCTTTCAACAGGATCCTTCCCTTCAGAAGGCCTGTTCTGATGTAATTCTGTTCTGATGTGGGCACCCAGGGCTCGGTTTATGGCATCGTTCTATCCTGGGGCAGAGTACAGAATAGGGGATACCAAAATCTCTTTTTTGCAAGGCTTTCACGAGTGCAAAATATCTTTATAGAGGTATGTAGTCTGGAAATGAAATAGCTTTGTGGCAGGAATAGCTCTTGTACTTCTCCCATTGCTAGAAAAAAAAAATACATATATAACTTTGCATAAACAGCTGGAATGAAAATGCAGTATTTCTTCAAGGCTGACAAACCCTTTCACTCTGCCCAGCCGAAAGATCGACTTAGTCGAGAACAAAGCTGTAATACTGGAATTTCACATGCTGAGAATTGCAGTTCGGTTCACGCCTGCAACCTTTCTAAAAGCACCCCCCAAAAAAACCTAACCGTTGCAAGAATAAAGAGAGGTGCTGGGTTGCATACTATAAGCCAACACAGTGGAGCTGGTAGGTATCAAAAGTCTGATCCAAATAGACTTTTTTCCTGGGTGGGGGGAACCCACAAAAAGGAAACCTATCAGGTGAGAAAGCCCCTTCTTGGGCTCACCTGCAAACCTCCTGAAAGGGCGCCAAGAGCAGGGTTTCCACCTGGCGCTCGAGCCAAAGGGAAGCCGGGGAAATGGGTAAGCAAGCTTTGATAGCCTATGATTCGTGAGCGCAAGACCAACCTCTGGCTACCGCCTTTCCAGGGCGAATTCTCCCCTCCCCTGCCTTCCGGTTAAGAACATTTTATCGAGTTGCCCCCTTTCTGGAACCCCCCGTGGGGCGAGTGCTCCCACGGGGCAGTGGGGAAGGTACCTTAAATTGGCCGCCCTTGGTCCTCCAGACGACAAGATCGGGGAGGCCGCCCCTGCAGTGGCGCAGATCTCGGGAGAGTCGCCGGCAGACGCCGCTCACGAAGGGCCCTCCAAGGCAGCGGACCAGGCTCTGCGGAACAAGGCGCCCCTTTGCTTAAACCAGCGTTGTCCAAACCTGGCCACTTTAAGATGAGTGGACTTCGACTCCCAGAATCCCCCAGCCAGCCTTCCAGATCGCCGTTTGCAAAACTATTTCATGGATCCTGATCAATCCACCATGACGTCAGTCCTTTGAAACAACTCTAAGATAAATCTCGTTAACGTGTGCTGACTTTGGATTCTGGTGTGTGTGTGTACAAGGGAGGGGGCTGTTTTCCTAAATTATTTTTCTTTAGATCTCCCATTCCATATTCATATTAAATTTGACAATAAGCTTTAGTAACAGCATAAAATATTCCATTAAAAAAAAAATGCAATGAGGCTTTCCTCTGTCTGTGAAAACCTCCTTTTCACCAACTTATTGTATAATTTAGAAAAAATAGGATGTACACAGGGCTGAATATTTTGGAAGGGGCTCACAGAGACATAAGGAACTGGCGTGATACGTTTCTTTGTCAGGCCAACCCGTTTTGGGCAGCAATGCTCCAAGGTTTCAAGAACCTTGGATGGCCTTCTGACCCTCTCTGGAGATGCCAGGAATAACCCCGGCACTTTTCGTGTCTTGCCTACCAAGCGCGGGGTCTGCAGCATCGCTGCTCCCGCTCTCACCTGGGCTTGCTGGAGAGAAGAGAAGCGGTCCCAGCTGACAAGCGCTGCCGCTTTGCCCTCCTGGAGACGCCACACTTCGCCCACCCAATGCTGGAGTTCCTCCGGCGACGCGTCATGCAGCAACTGCAGTCTGGCCTCAATAGCCGCCTGGCGGTTCTCGTAAAAGCTGCTTGTGTAGAGATCCAGCGGGAAAGCCTTGGGACAGGGGGAGATCCACGGATAATTCCACCCAGAACTCCCACGCGTAAAAGATCTAAGAAGAGTCTTTCAGCAAGCAGGGCGCTTCTGCCCTGTTTCCCCTCTCCAAGCGCTCAGGAGTGGTTTCCGGGCGATCGGAGGCTGCTTTCACTAATACCGAATTGAAGCTGTAGAAGAGAATCTCTGCAGCTCAGGGCTGAACTGTGGAGTCCTTGCTGCTCTCTGAACTTGGTTGTTTCCTTGCAGACGTTTCATCACCCAACTAGGTAACATCTTCAGTGGTGGTCCCTTGATCCAAGGAGAAAACCACACCCCCACCAACACTTAGCAAGGCAAGCAACTGTATATAAACAGGAAGCAAACCTCACTCCCTTCTAGCACTGATGATGTTCCCTAGTTGGGTAATGAAACGTCTGCGTCCAAACAGCCAAGTTCAGAGAGCACCAAGGACTCCATAATTCAACCCTGGGCTAGAGAGATTCTCTTCTAGTGGAACCAAATTAAAGCACTAAAACAGGGCCGCAACAATCTCGCGGTGCCCCTTGACGGGTCAGCAGGGCCGCCGTAAGCTGGTGTGCAACAGCACCGTGACACGTGGGGCACGACGTTTAAGTTTTAAACATCAGTTCTCCGTTCCGAACACCCACCACACCCGCTTGCTTACGTCAGAGTTCGCTTCTTCCGAAACGAGGGCTGGACATCCGTTTTCAGAGGCACCGCACGTGGCACGCAATCTGAAACTATCAGCACCAAACTTCTCATCTAGTCTTAACCACTGTCCTGTTTCCCCATTTAAAAAAATTTAGTAAATAAAATTACTAAGAGGCGGGGCGGCCAAACGCTTCTTGCACAAAGGCGCCTTACGGGTCAGTGGCGGTTCTTGCTGGCCAGTAGGGACCAAGATAATCTTTCCTTTTCTTTTTCTCTAGTCCAGTCTGGTCCTCTGCTGAATCCAGGAGGAAAACCGATTTCAAAGTCCTCCAATTAGTGTTTCCCTTGCAGGATGCGTGGAGGATAAGGATTTCTCTCCACTGGAGAAACAGTGTTTGGGGAGAGACCCTCCTTCCCAGCAGGATCTGCTCTACCACAGCAGAACCAGAAGTAAATTAGCCCAGCTCTCAGTGCTGCTCTGAGTAAGAGGTCCAAAGCTGTTTCCAAACCGATCCGTAACCTTCTCCGGTGCCTAACTTCAGTTACCCACTCAAAACAAAAGACTGGAAAACCATCTTCCTGGTGCTCTCCATGTAAACAGAGTCTGTCCATGAGTAGGGACAGGTGTGTCTCTTCACAAGGCTTTATATCCCCATCAGCTCCATTTGTATCCCCAGCAATTGGCTTTGAGGGTTCACCAGAAGTTGCTCTAGTGACCCTGATGATGAAGCCCTTTCTAGAAGAACTTACCTGGTACGAATGCCTAAAGACATCAGGGACGCCATCCATGAAAAGGATATCCCACATCAGGAGGGCATAGAGGGTGGTAAAGGTGGACCCTTCGCCGTGAATCCCTGCGGAACAGCCCAGTTGCAGTCGCAAGAAACATGTCGGAATATATTAAGTGCCAACCCAAGGCAGTTCAACCCCACTTGTCACCATCCCAACGTTGCGTTCGGCCATAACCCAAAACCGTTTGAGAATCTGAAGGTTCTCCAGTTTCAGATGGAGACTTTAAGCATAATCAACTCTTCTAGGAAAAGGTTTCCTGCGAGGGTGCCAGAGGGAAGATTTTGGGGGAGAACAGAAGGTATATTAAACTCCTCCCTTACTCCTGGGCAAAACTACAGGTAGTTCTTGCTTAACAACCACAATTGGGACTGACAACAGTCGCTAAGTGACATGGTTGTTAAGCGAGACATCACGTGACCATGGTGGACTTACTCTGAGAAGTCATTTCTTGCCCTGGCTGGCCTCCTCCAGGCTGCAGGAACCAGTAGAGACCTGTGCTCTTCCTTCCTTACCCACCCTGTGGTGCAACCAAGTAAAACCCAACTGAAAAGCAATTGGAGCACTGGGAGAAGGTTACCTTGATCAAAGCCCTGATCCTTGTAGTGGACCAAGGCTAGTTCCTCAACAGAGCAGACGATCGTCAAGGGTTTGGGGCCCTCCCTTTGGCTGTCCAGGATAAACATGGATTTTCCCATCCTGATCTGTGGGCACACTCTCCCTTTGATGGTAACCTGAGTAAACGAAGAAGTCCTTTCACCATCTTGGTAGCCCTTCTCTGGACTCACTCCAGTTTATCAAGGTCTTTTTTAAACTGGGGTCTGTGGAACACCGCCGTTTGTCTGAAGAGACATTTCCCCAGGCAGGGAACCCAGCAGCTACTTACATGGGTAACATCGTCGACAGAAAGAAGAGGCAGGTTGCAAAGAAGATGCTTGAATTTCTGACATGCTGGGGTGTCCTTCATCCTCTGGACTCGCTGAGAGAGGGAAAGCCGGTGACCCGGACGAAGAAAGGGATCCAGAAGGCCTTTCTGGATGCATGCCACAGCCTAGCAGACAGACAGCCATTGCAGAGGGGTGATTAATAAAATATAACCAAGACAAATGGGTCTTTCCTCAACCACCAGAAAGAAAGACCCCTTCCCAGAGGAAGGAATCCAGAGAAAACATCTTCTACGAGAACACTGTTGGCAAGAAGAACGTTGGAGAACACATCTTGCCCTGCCAGTACACAATATCTGACTCTGTGGCATGACGAACACACCAGGCACGTTACCTTCTCGGGGTCTTTCAAGTGCTGGTGTAAGTTCAGAGCTAGGCGTTCCCACCACTGCCCTCGGCTGTCCACACAGTAAACTTCTTGAGCCAAAAGTTCTCGCAGCTGCTCCACCGCCTCCTGGCAAGGGGACGGAGAAGACCATGAGGAGGTTGAAGAAGGCCATCTCCACAGCTCAGCCGTGGATACGGCCCTGCAATGCCTTGGCCTTGCGGAGAGACGAAAGGAAGAGGCTTTCCTGCAGGGCTGTTGTGCAGAAAGCAGGAAAACAGAAGCACGGCACCTGGAGCTCTTCATGGAAATGTGGAAATGCTGGGCATTAAAAATAGCAGCAGTGAAAGGACAGGCTTAAAAATACACCAACATTAATAGCTTGCAGATGATGCGGAGGAGGTGCAAGATTATGCTATTTGTCTAAAGCGTTTCTCGGCCGCCAGCCACGCCATGCGCCTCCAGGTGGTGCGAAGTCATCAAAATCCTTTTCATGCAATGGAAAAGAAAACCCTAAGGAAGGAAAGATTTACACGAGATTGAGGCAGGGAGCAAGATGAGGGAAGCAAGGTTTACAGCACGATGTGTGTTGGTGAAGAGCTGCGTTTCTCTGCTTGTCCCAGAAACGGCCTGCTGTTCGTGATCAGCCACAGAAACAAGGGGATTGACCAAGGGCCAAGGAGAAGTCATTTCTCTTTGGCCAACCAGCTTCACTCACCTCTAGCGATCATTCGGTTTTATAGGCTGTCTGACTGACCTCACTGCTCCTCGAGGCGGCAGCACTGAGCCTTGGCCGATCTCAGAAAACCAAGCTACTACGAAGCTAGTCAGTCCTTGGACAGGAGACCACCAGGGGATCTGAGGGCAAGAGGCTAGGTGGTACCATACCACCAACCACGAACACTCCCATATTGCTGCTAAGAAAGCTACATGGCTGTGTCCATGAGGCCCCCAAGGACTTCAAGCACAACTCAAGCAAAGCTTTTGTGAGTTCAGGATGCAAAGACGGCGCAGATCTTTTCGAGAGATCTCGCGGGTTTCCCACCCTGTTACCTCGTACTTGTGAAGCCTCTGCAAGATCTCTACTCCCTGCGAGAGGATGCGCGTGTACAGCCACCCAACGGTGAAACGCCGGAGGTATTCCGGGAGCGCTCTGTGATGCCTGCGCGAGAAAACACAAAGGGGTCCACGTCCTTGTCAGGCAACGGCCGACTCCTCGCTAAAGCTCTGGGCCATTCGTTGATTTAATAATTTAATATTTAATCATTTAATTTAATAATTAAAGAGGCTTTTCGACAGAGTAAAAACACATGTTTTAAATTAAAGATAAGGAACGTAGAGAAAAGTAACAGGAAAGCGGAAGAGAAATAAAGGAAAAGAAACAGAAGAGGAAAAAAGAAGGAATAATAAAGTAGCTTCCGATCTTCTTAACAGCAGTTATAAGCACATTTATATTTTACCCTCTCTCTGAGGTCACACCGAAATTTCCTTCTTTCCATAACCTACCCTTTCTAACCATCAAATCCACAAATCACCAAGCTCGTTTTTAAAAAATTTTTTAGCAAAAAGTCCCTCAGGGGGTTCGAGTCAGAAATAAATGTAATAGCTTGACCTTGCTTGCTTCAAGTTAATTTGGCCATCTCTGAGCCTTTCCGACCCTTTCCCTCTTTTACACCTATAAATCTAAACCCGCTTCCAAGTTTGCACCTGCGGGGCCTAAAGAGCCAAGCAATACGAATAAAACGTATCTTGAACCGGACTCTTCCCAAGGATCAGGAAGGCCTGAGCGTCACGGGTTCAGGGAACATCAGCAAGCCGTCGAAGCTTCCCTTTGTGGGGAATCTGCACCCCTCCAAGTACGCACCGGAGGGAAGGGTGTTCTCTCAGCTCCTGCCACGATCCCTTCGCGACCTCGTACAGGCGGCGCGCCTCTTCCCAGTTCCCGCTGGTCATGGCCACGCAAACGTCATTCGAGGTATGTGCAGCAGCCGCGTACCTATTCAAACATTAAAATGAGTCGTGGCAACTTGCGTTGAAGATTATTGTTTCCCCGCCTTATCCTACTGCAAGCGATGCTATGGGGGAGAATACCGGTAGTCCTCGGTTAATGACCATATTGGGTCTGGTTGTGGCAACTCTGTTGCTAAGTGATGCGGTTGTTAAGCGAGACATCACGTGACCACAACGGACTTACGACCTCACTTCTGCCGCGGCCGTTAAGCGACTCACATGTGGTTGTTAAGCACAACATTAGGTGACTGCCACTTGCAACTTCCTGCCAGCTTCCCCATTCACTTTGCTCGTCAGAAGCTGGCTATGAAGCTTGCAAACGGCAGTCACATGACCATGAGATGCTGCGACCGTCGTAAATGCATGCTAGTTGCCAAGTGCCCAAATCCTGATCATGTGACTGTGGGGACACTGCAACAATCGTAAGTGCAAGGGCCGGTCGTAAAGTAACTTTTTCAGCACTGTGGCAAGTCTGGTCACTAAACAGGGCAGTCAGTAACTGAGGACTAGCCATAAACGTCTTCCTGGGAAGGCATCTAACCCTTACCTGTAAACCTGCAGGTTTCCCTTATGGTGAACATGGGGAAGAAACAACAGAGACCTCACTGAAACCGCCTTCTTGACCCACAGCGGCTAACAGAATAAAACCAAGGTTGGTCACCAAGGCCATTCTCTTAGAAGGCTGTTGTGCATTCAAAAAGAAGAGGATCAAAATATATTGCCTGGAGCTTCTTGGTGGAAAAAAGAAAATCAATGTAAGAAAGAAACAAGGACAACCCAGAGCCCAGATTAATTTTCTTTCCTACCTAATGAAATCATCCCGATCCTGGAATATTGGAGTTTTCCTGTTGACGGTGTAAGTGGGGAAAACTGTCCGGCCCATGTTTACCATGAGCACCATGGAAAGTTGTCTTTGGCCACCGCTACCGGCTTCTTCGTCCTCCACAGGATCCGTCAGGGAAAAAAGCAGCAGTGTGCGGGAGAAGACAGCCCGGGGGCCTTTGCAAACCTTGATGCATTTCCCCACCAGACCTTTAGCCCTGGAAGCCAGGAAGGAGGAGAAGGTATCAAGGCTGGCATCCTCCCAACCCAGCCGCAGAAGCAGCCGGCATGCAACTCTACACGTATTTGCTATGCCCGTCGCTTTCAAAGCGGGTTTGGAGTTTTAGCCCCAAACAAGAGAAGCTGCAGTTCTCAGAAGTTGAAAATGCTGGCGCTACTCGGTATTTCTGGGCATTTAGCTTCTGAATACTGGCTAAATCTTCCCATAACTGCAAAACAAAACTTGCACTGCTCCATCTTCAGAACCTGGGATCCAGCTTGTCCACAGCTGGGGGATGACGAATGCAGAAGTTTCTCGATGAATATTCCCAACCTTGCCTTTCCCTCTCTCCTGCTATTTCCAATTATTGCACGGGAAGAGAAACAGTTGAGTCTACCTTATCCTGTCTTCTGCTACCTCCAAGCCATGGATCTACCTTGTGCTGCCTTCTACTTCCAGATATGGGGCCGTGACTGGGCTGAGAACCCTGAAAGTTACACATCTGAGGGTGCCAAACTGGAGAAGTACAGCTGAGCTCGTTTCATACTGTCTGCTCAGATAGTGCTTACTCTACAGGATCCCTTGCGGAAAAAATTCCCATTATCTGCTACATAATCCTTTCTCCCCAGAGATGTGAGAGGATCAAACAAGAGATCTGCTGCATTGAAACCATGCCCTCTGCCCATCTGAGAAGTCCCTCTGTAGTGGGGAGAAGGCCTCCAGCTTCCCCTCTTGAATGATGTTTCTCCTTTTCCACTCTACCCTTTGATCTGGAACATCCTCCAAGAATCCTTCCTTTTTTAAATCTCTCCAAATGCCTCCTTAAAATTCATCCTTTCATCTGAGCCTTGCCACTTTGCATTCTTCTTCCTCTTCTTCAAGGCATCCTTGCAGCTGAAGTGCTGAGATACTCCCCCAAAATTATGCACGCATCAATCAAGATAAATCCTGCCACTTATAATTAGCACATAGTTCAAATGTGAATTATAAAAAGCAGAACTGGCGTCTCCTGGGAGACATCTGCTGCTCAAAAACTAGGTTACAGGTGGAGGAAAAAGCTGTGCATTTCCTGAAGCAAAAGACGGTCTGCCACTGAGAGAAGCCCAAGCAACTAATTTTTAAAAACCCTTCTCAGCTCCGTGCACGGTCTTTTTGCTTGTAATTCTGTCCTTCCACCAACAGAATTAAAAGCCTAAGGGGCAAAGAAACACCCCAGTGGCACATAAAGACTGTTTATTCTGCCATCTTTAATGAATACAAAATTCAACTTCCCAGAAAGCCAGCATTCCTGTGGAAAACTCTTGGAAGTATCCTCTTTCACTATGGAGCTCTGCTTCCAATGTTCTAGTAGGAAAACCAGACTGACTGGGTAGTTTCCACATATCAGACTCCCCAATTCAGAAAAAGTGACTTAGAACAGATCAAAAACCGAAGTAAGAAGAGAGGAGTATATGAGTCTATGTACAATTTCTATTATGTCTGAACTGGAAGCAGAACAAAAGACCATTTGTAGATGTCAAGAACCAACTTCTCGCTCCATCTGTGGAATCGAATGATTCCTGATGCAGAATTCTGTTCTTTGTTCCCTTTTTACTGGACAATGGCCCTTCTGAATTTACCTTTTCAGAATCACGCTTCCAATCCCAGCTTGGCTGGTGCCAAAGATGGAGCGCTGTCTTGCCAACCGGAGGAAATCTTCTAGAAGCTGCTGCTTCGGAGAAGCCGGGTTCTTCAAATGAAACACCTTTGCTAAAGTCTTCAACTCGGGGGCAGAAAGTAAGTTGAGGACTTCAGGCAGGTTTTGCAATTCTGCCTCTGCAGGTGCAGCGAGGGGGGAAAATAAATAAGTTGACAATTATGAAAAAAAAACCTCACATTCCCGGTCTTTTGCTATAGAAAGCAACCAAGAACGCCACAACTTTCATTCTTTAGATAACAATGCCAAACCACCAATCCAAAACCCCATCTCTGAAACCGTCTTTAAGGGCTGGCTTTGATCACGTGGCACCTGCCATTCACTCCTCTTCAAAGCTTGAACAAATTGAGAGAGCAAGCA